GGAATCCAGTGCCTCTTTTGATGGGGTATTTTTGTCTGGGTCACTCAAGTACAGTACCATGGAGTTGATAGCAGGATCTAGCTCCTGTAGCTGTATGATGTCGGGGTCAGTCAGGGAAGGTGCCATTGTGTGTCAGAGTCGGGTCCAGCGGTTGAGCTGCCGCTGACTCAGATGCAGTTGAGGTCTCACTCACCTGGTCTCTATTCTCGGGTGAGGGGTCAGTCGTGCCCTCTGCAGTGTCAACTGCTAGGCACTCTGTGTCCCACTCAGGTGGGAGGGTTAATGGCGCTGGTTCTCCGGTTCTGGTCCAGACTGTTCTATCCACCCAATCTGCCTGTGCGTTGACTCTGTATAAGAGGTCTTGGCCAGCTAGAAATGGGATAGCGTCCAGTGGCGCCACATACACTGGGTGTATGAATGTCATCCAACTGAGCTGTATCTGTATCAAGGATACAGAGGATAGAGTGGTGTTGTTCTCTGCAAAAGCTTTTATCTCCACAGAGCATTGCTTCTGGGTGAGTTTTTATTAGCACGTTTAGCAGCTGCACGCAGCTCCTCAAACAGTTTGTTGGATAGAGTGGTGTTGTTCTCTGCAAAAGCTTTTATCTCCACAGAGCATTGCTTCTGGATGAGTTTTTATTAGCACGTTTAGCAGCTGCACGCAGCTCCTCAAACAGTTTGCTTGACATAATCGTTATGTCCGACCCGGTGTCTTGGAGGGCCTCCACCGTGACTGCATTCTCCAGGCTTAGTGTCAGATAAAACTTCCTTGCGAACCCTTTTGTGTTTAGGTTACAAAGAAAATCTGCGACCTCATGCCGCCTACGCATTCTCTTGTTATGCTGGTCAGTCTGTTTGTCCTCTTGGTCTGTTTGAACCGTCAACACAGTGTTGGTCATGTTTAGGTCCCCCCCCCCCTTTGTTTAAGGATGTGATTTCAGTGTCTGTTTTACACATTGAGTCAGTCCTTACCGTCGTCATCGTTGTCTTTCTTTTTGAAATCTTCCAACACACGACACATTTTTTCCAACTCTGCACTCAGATATTTGTAATCATTTGTGTTGTCAACCTTTGTTGACTTCTTGCCCTGTTCACCACGTTCTGTCCTTGGTGAAGGAGGGTTAGATTCTTTGTGTAGTAGTCTGTTTTGAGGCCACCCACGATTGTTGGGAAAACTTTGGTACCCGTTAGTAGGTTTTGTTTTAGGACTTGGACCCCACGGTTGAGGTCTCTGGTCGCTTTTTTGGTTTTGATTGCCCCACCTTGGTTTCCCGTTAGCACTTTTATTTTATGTTTTGGTAGGTTGAAAGTTTTGTTTCTTTTTACCTTGTTTAGGAGGCGGAGACTCTGCTTGAGCTCCCTCCAGCTCTAAATGAGAGGATTTGGCATTGTTCATGTAGATTTCTGATTCTGTCTTTTGTGTTTTCAGTTTTTCAAACGCTATGATCGCCCAGTCTGTTAGTTGTTGAATCTTATTGACTCGCCAGTCTGCGAGTATGCTTAGTTGAGCACTTGTGTCTTTGTGAAGGTTCTATATAAAGAGAAATTTAAAGCCTGGATCCTCGTCCATAAATGGTTCGTTTCTGTTACCAAAATAAGCTTGCAAAAGCTTATAATAGTACTCATTAGGATGCTCATTTCGGCCTTGTTTTTTGGGTTCAGCTGATGGATAGCAAGGGGGTCCCGTGTTGGGGGTGTACTCTCTTTCTAAGCTTTCACAAAGAAGTGTGTAGTTATTTTTTTATTTCCTCTGGTTGGCGATCAATGAAACTGTTTACCTTTCTGCTTGATGTAAGCCTGAGAAGGTAACGTTTGTTCTCTATATTAGCATTTGGGTAACTCTCAAGGTAAAAATCAACGTCCCGAAGGTAGGCCCTGGTGTCATATGAGCCTGTTGGACTTGGATCGAAAGGTTTGATGTTTTTTGAGATTTTGTCAAGTTCACGGTCAGAGGGAGGACGATGGTACATTGATCTCCCCTCCTGTCCGGACTCTCCTTGTCTACCCTGATGTGGTTGACCTGTTCGATCCTCAAACAATGGGTTCGGGGGTGGGGGTAAAAGTGGGTTTCCAGGTTCCTCTGGTCCGGTGTAATTGATTGGTGGGGGTGGAAGTAGAAATGTTAATGGTGCTAGACTGCGATGACGTGGTGTGCCAGTAGCTTGGAGCCAACCTGTCTGTGCCTGCTGGCCACTCAACAATGGAATGTTGCACTCCAATGCTTCTGTGTACTCCTGATAGGTTTTACGAAACTCTGCATGAGCTTCTCGTTGTTGTCTGAGAGTTTCTCTTGCCTGTTTATTTTTTTCTTTTTCTTGGTGAAGTTAATTTTGGATCACATGTAAATACAGTTCTTTTAAAGGAGATTATTTGTTTTTGATCTTCAAGGCCAACATTGGCCTGATTGAGAGCTCCTGCAACTTCATTGAGATGAGATTGAAGGGTTTCTTTTTGTTTCATTTCATCTATAACTTGTTGCTTAAGTTTTAAGTTTTCCTCGTGCAACCTTTTCATCTTCTCAGAGTCAGTGGTTATGACATGAATACTTTTTTTCTGATTTTGTCTCCTTGGCTATTCTTTCAGCAATCAACCAGATATTAATACACCTGTCAAGATGTCTCTGGTATAGGATCCTTAATAAAATGTCATACAGATAAGCATGCATGCGAACAAATTATAAACTGGCTTCCACAGCAGAGATTATGGATTTAAACATAGCTTTCAGCTATAAATGAGAGAAAAAAAACGAACTGAACTAGATCTGACGTTATAACCTTGAACAGCCGTAAATTGCTTATTATCTTCAAATAATTAATGTTATTGATATAACTACAAAATGACAGAAAACGACAAAATCTGCAGCTTTTTGTTATTTTCTGAGCACCACTCAACCATAAATCACCTTATAATAACACTTTGACTATTGCCAACATGAAGAAAAACGGTGTTTTTCCACAGTGCACAGAAGATAATATTTTAATGAGAAAAATATTACAAGTTACCATTAAAAATGGAACTGTACGGAGCCACCAACATGTAGGAGGTGAGCTTAAGGTGAATTAAGCTTCTCCCACAAGGTACAGTATTTCTCATTATTTGTTAATATCTTGACTGTGCAAAGTGAAAAGTGACACAGTAAGTGGAGCATTCAGACGAGTTCGATTTGATTCATAATGACTATGCAATCATTTATTTACACAAATTAAACTGATCATATGTTACACTTGATTGAGGGTATTCCAATAACAAGCGTCAGAGTTAAATGGGGTAAAACTCGCGTCCGACTTTCAGTCCACATTACTCAGATTACTTATATAGAACAGTAAAAACGTTATTTCTGATGTTACACAACCAAACAATTTTACTGGCACTTTTAGCTTAAGTTTTGGCAAATCAAAGAAATAAGAAAGAGGAGAACAGTAATGTTAGTGTTTCTACTACTTTTACTTTTACCAAAGTGTGAGACAACCGGAACTGCACATCTTTTCTCGACTCAGGTCCACAATATACGTCACTCCGAACATGTCAGCTTTTACCTGATGATGGCTTCTTAAGGCACCCTCGAAGTAGAAAAAACTGGCTCACCTCCGATCAGCCAGAGGACTGTTGTCGTCTCGCTTACCGGTCATTGACGAACCGGTGTTATTTTTAGGTAACTTTGTGTTTGCTTCAGTCCAAGCCAGAAAAATTCAAGCCGTATCCGGTTCCTCCTTCAAAATAAAACATCTCCCCATTGGGAGGTATAAAACACACTTAGAGGCTTGGAGCCTCGGGTTGGAACCACCGACAGGCGTGCCGGGTCCCTGGCTGTGAAATCCTCCCTAATTAGCTCATGGGATCAGATTTTCAGCCAAAGCTGAGGTTTCTCCAGAAAGAATCACAGCTGTCTTCCTAGGTTGGAATCAGGAAGAAGAGTGTGTTGCTCAAAGCCGTCCGGGTTATTAATAAGAATGGACGACTTTGGTTCCGCCCTCAGGCTTAGAGATGAGTCAGAGAAGAAAGATAGAGACTTGCCAGTCAGGCACCAGTCAAGGTTAAATTCTGTGGTTGTACAACATCATGATAATCTCTTTAGCTTCTTTCTGATAGACTCTAAAAGAAATCRCTGCAAAACCTTTATGATGATTAACTAACATTTCTGTTTTGTAATCAGCTTTGAACCATTCTTTTAGTCCAGATAAATGAAAGATTTTCTCAAGAAAAATCCACAATTATATTACTGTGTTCACAGTAAAATAAAAACAGTGATTTACATAAAAACACAATGAAAACATTGTAATCAGATTCTCTGTGATTTTTTTTATACCATTAGAAATCTTTAAGGCACGGTAAGAGAAAAAAAGTGGTTCCACTTTCCTGTGACAGGCATTATCATGATTTAACAAATGCATAAACATTCTTAGTTAAACAACAAATGAATCAYRAACAGAAGAGATTGTTCTGTCCATTATCTGATTAAATCACGAACAGAAGAGATTGTTCTGTCCATTTTCTGATTAACAGAACTGAGGGGTTCTCTTCCATGGTTAGAATGACCTGTCATGGCCTAAATAGAGTTCAGTTTGTGACAGAGTTCCTGTCCTCTCGTCAGGCCTGGCCGAGGCCTGCTTAGAGGCAGTAAATCGTGTTTCTTCACTCGAGGTGACCCCTACAGGAAACTGTGATGAAGTGATTCAACACAGTCTGCTGGCTTCTACTTTACATTATTCTTTTTTATGTACAGTGCCCTGAGACAATGCATGTTGTGACTTGGCACTATATAAATAAACTTGAACTTGAGCTTGAATGAATGAAAAATCCTTGTCTATGGGAGAAATGTCAGACGGAGCAGAGAAGCGAAACTAGAATTGAGCAGAACTGCATAGGAAGGCAAGGGCCAGGCAAAACTTGGCCCATTAGGTTTGATTTTGAAATGTTATGTTTGACTGTTTAAAGTAGATGTATGGCATGGGGCTACTTTGTTTCTTAGTTTACAGCTATGAACTCTGTTGGATACTTACACGATGCATGCTGGGACTGCATCCCCCAGCGGGCTGCATGGTTCCCTCTCCTCTAACACGGGGCAGTCTGTTCCGCCGCCAATTGGAAACTGGCTCACTCCTCTGGTGCGTATGCGCTCCCCTTTGGGTCCGTTGGGGTCATAGCAGTCTTTGGAACAAGCTGACCATTCAGACCACTCTGTCACATCACAGTCTTTGGGAATCACACAGGCCTGGAAGGTCACTGGCAGGGCTTCTTGAGAGCAAAAGCTGAAAAATAAATCAAATAAAGGTTTTACTGCTATTTTTCTTTTAGCTGCTTCCTTCCGCAGGGGCAGCTACAGTGAGAAACATTGTCAATTGTCATTTTACCTCACGTCAAATGTTCTCCTGGACAAAACCTGGATACAAACTAACATTGCATCACTCTAATGTAAATTAATCTTCCAATAAGCTGCCATTCTTTGAATGCTTTCTTTGATTTTGTAGGAAAAATGTCACAGTTCTTACAAAAAGAATTAAAATGCTCCGCTGAGTGCAACTTCTGCTTATTAACCATAGACTGATTTATACTGTGTATTTGTTTATTGATAACTGTCTTGGTTTTGGTTGTTTGAAACCCAAAGTGCAGACTCATGGTTCTGGTCTCAAGTCTCCAAACAGGAAAACAGATTTTTTTAAAATAAAACAAAATGCTGATGTGGCAGCAAAGACTACAGACAGATCTTGTGGGTATTAAACACAACAGCAGTGTTGGGTCAGACACATGGAGAGCTCAATGCAGAATCTAACTTGTGGGGAATATAAAGACGAGACTAACAAACCAGAATAACAAACACCTGGGCAAAAAGACAAGGATCAGGTGTGAGTGGGCGGGGCAGCAACAGAAACAGAATCAAACAAAGTGAACATTATGACCAAAACCAAAAATAAAAGCAGATATTTAAATTATTTGCTGAAAAAAGAGTATATTCCCCCTACGATTATTTGCTTTGTGTTGACCTAAAATAAATTGAAGCATGTGCACTGTATGAAATGTAAAGCATTATTCGAAAAAGAAAACCACGGTAAAAATGCACTGATTACAAAGAAATACGAGGAAAGGAATGAAAGTTGTGCAACCAGTTTGTCTGGAACAAAGAAAATGTTAATTTCACAAAAAAAACAAATAAAATAATTTAAAAAATGTGTGGTTAATCTGGCATTTGGTTTGTTTTTTTACATTCACTGCTTCAGACTCTTGTGTCCAAATTCCCAACCTGAACGTTCTGAGCAGACTACGACCTACTGTGGTGGTGTCATCCCATATAACACAAAAGTAAGGACATTTGTGTTTGATAGATTATTTATTTGCTGTGACAGTGCTTGGGCAAATTTTTCATGTGTACAACCCACATACTCAGTTCTACTGCTCATCCCACAAATGCATGTTCCTTACAAATTTGGCACCATTTAAATGGGGAAATTAACAGGTTAAGATTTATTCCCAAGAAGTACTATTACAAGAAAGAAATAATCTACCAAACACAAATTTTCTTATTTTTTTGTAGTATAAATGCCACCATCACTAAGGAATGTAAGAAAATATCAATACAATGAAATATCAACTATCACAATAGTTCATTTTATGATGCTGTGTCGATTTTTAAGGTTTAAAATGGAAACTTTCATGCCAGCGGTTCATTTTTGTTGTATAATTTAGAATCCGAACACCAGCTGGCAGCTGTCAGTCAGCCATTTGGCTCATTTACTCCTAAAGAGCCAGAGTATAATGCTAGCTTAAGCATTAGCATTGTGTATAAATGTTAGCACTAAGTACAGGCAGCTGAATATGAGCAGTTTAAACTGACACCTTCTGCATTCAAATCTGAGGTAGGAATGCCAACCTTCCAGTATAAGCCGGGATGTCCCGTATTTTTAGCTGTCACGTTACGGAAGGCAGACATTTGTCTATAGTGCCCTGAGCTGAATGGAATCTCCAAGGGATGGTATTGAAGTGACCATTGTATTATGATATATCATATACTATATCCAACCCATTCTCACTCCCAAGTCGTCACATATTGACGCTTTTCCAAGGTTCCCTCTACGTCCGATTTTGACGCGCCGGGTACCCCCGTCACGTCAGTTACTGACGAGATGGGGCGAAATCTGTTGTCATATTTTCAGAAAGTGTAGAATATGCGCAAAAACTACCGTTTCGAAGCCTGAAATCACCTTTGTTCACTTTAGACATCCTGTCCCTGACCCTAGTACCTAAAATTAACCATTTTTAGAAAATGTAGGAAATTCACGTCAACATGTTCCAAAGCCTGAAATTACCTAATATTCACCATGGACATCCTACCCCTGATCCCAGTACCTAAACTTAACCATTAATGCTGATCCCTCATGTTAACCTCAGACCCCCAACCCAAAGACCCCTGGTGGCGCAACCCGGAAAAGCCGCGGGCGTCAAGGACTGACGCGAGGGGGGTACCCGGCGCGTCAAAATCGGACGTAGAGGGAACCTTGGAAAAGCGTCAATATGTGACGAGTCGGGAGTGAGAATGTGTAGCTATATCATATCGTGTAATGATATGTATCATATCCCCAAATTCTTGCCAATACACAGCCCTAACCATCACTATGCTTCTCTAAGGCCCTCTACACCCAGAATGACAACATTTCTGCACAGGAAGCAGCGATGTGTCAGAAGATCAGCACAACACTACTGCCAAGTATCGTGTCTGTTCTAGGCAGTGATGTTTGGATCGATACTAAAATAAATGCCAATATAGGGTATCAAGTGTAAAATAAAATGTTAAAAAATTTCACTAACACATTTTCATTATTTAGCTCACTTTGAGTGTTAAAAATTTCCACTAACATTTTATTGTTTCATACCTAAATGTGAACTTCAGCATTTAAGGTTTAACTTTTACATTTAAATTTAAACATGTAGATTTAGGATTTAATAGTTAAATCTTTCTTTTGACATTTAAATTTCATATTTAGTAAAAATTAATTAAATGTAAGAACAGTGAGCTAAATAACAAAATGTTAGTGGAAAATTTAAACACTCAAAAAGTGAGTTAAATAATGAAAAAATATGTTTTAACCTTTAATGTTATACCTAGGGCTTTTAATTTTTTTTAACATTTCATTTTATACTTGGCGCCCCATACATCAATACCAGAACGTGATGCTCCAAAATTGATTCTAAGATGAAAATATCAATACTTTTATACTGAAAATCAATGGAAAGTAACTAAACTAGTTAAATCTATACGTGGTTGGTGGAAATTACTTTTTCTTTCGCCATGCGTAAGCGCAGCGGTATATGCTTAGTCACTCAGTCTGTTATTTACATGTTCAGTATTTTCATGTCAATATGTTCATGTAATGTAAATTAAGAGAAGTTTTCATTTTTATAATAGTTCTCAGTAATTAATCATTTTTAATGGTTTTCTTGTTTTTCCTAATTTTTAAAATTTTGTTTAAACAGCATTTTCATTGGTTTTTCTGTTGTATTAGCTTGGCTATATTGTAAATAAAGTTGCTAACTCAGTATACTTCTGAATTTAAAATGAGTAAATAAAAAAATAGATTTACTTGGCACATTAGGTTGGTATGGACGACACCAACCTGAGTTTTACTCTGTATCAGAATCAGAAAGGAAATCATTGGTATCAAACATCACTAGTTCTAGTTTGCTTCCATGACCTCGTAATGTTTACAGTTGTAGCCTGCAAGTAAGTCCTAGTTCCAATTCTTGATGACCAGATGAGTAAGTGGTGTACCACAAACTGGTCCTAATTTATCCCCCAAAAAAACTTTCCAGTAATAACATAATTATATATAAAATTCAAACTATGTACATATTGACAACAATTATTTAAAGGGCAGAGTCTGAGATTACTAGTTTCATGTTTTGGCTTCAACTCCCTATAATCCCCAAAGTAATATGACTCACTGTAGATATGTTTGATCCTGTGCTATTTCTAACATAATACATTCAACACTCTAAAGTAAGCCTCTTTAAAGCTTCCAGCCATCTGTGCAGTCAGTGAGGCTGGAAACACAGAATACAGATATGTGGCTCGCTTTTCTTTCAGCCGTTACAAGAAAATCCATCACAGGAGGCTTGGTTTTCTCAGGAAGTAATAGATGGTGCTCAGTGGCCTCTTTTAGAGTCGAGCGAGCACATAGAGACAGAATAAGGCCATTCATCTGTTACAGAAGAGCATGGCTCTGTGACACCCCGTGAACTTGAGCTCATGTAAAGAGACAGTGGATGAGTTTGGATCCATCTCTGTGGCTGTGTACACAAAAAAATATACCATCAATAAAATAATATGGAACGTTGCCGACTTGAAGGTAAATGCTATTTTCTGGACAATAAGCTTTATTCTAAGTGAGAATATTCAGGAACTATATATATATATAC